AAAGTATATGATGTGAGGTAGGGAATGAGGTCCCTCGCACACATGCTTATCTAATTCCAGCATTACTGGTGAAAGAGATTTTTTTCCTTTATCCAAGTCATCTGACTCTTGCTATCTCTCCAACACTGAGCACCTCCAGGTAAACCTGTGCCCTGCGCAGCCTTTGGCTAGTCAGTGTGCTTTAAAGACCAGCACCACGCCCTCTCCTGGGAGTTGGTTAGAAATGCGGAACCTGGGGTTACTCCAGGCCCACGGAGCTAGCATCTGCGCGTTATATTCATCCCCAGGTGGGAGGAGCACTGGGCAGATCGATTTTGAGGGAGGAGGGCGCAAGTCATCATGACATACCCTGACTCTGCCCTCTGAGCTGCTGGGGCCTCTCCTGGAGGGCAGGATTCTATTTACTGCGTCCATTCCACCTCCGGCCCACCCTTCACCGCACTGACGGGGCTAGGGGACTCACTCACCTACTCCTCACCCTCTAATATCCATAACCACCTGCTCGCGATCCAGCAGCTCCTATGCCCTGCCCCCTCCCCCTGCACCCTCTCACCCTGAGCCTCAGTTTCCTCAATTACAGAGCGCAGACAATAAGTCCCCACCTCCGGGGCCCATGGGATCCGCAGTGATCTGAGAGGTGCCTGGAACAGACAGGAAGCACAATCACAGCCAATGATGGTCACGGTCGTTTCCGAGCCGCCTCCCGGGAGGCGCTCCCGGACAAAGGCCTCCTCGCTGTACACCCGGGTTGCATGGGGGCCGCGCCTTCGGCCGGCTTCTCCCCCCTCCCTTCTCGGCGCCCGCAGCGCAAGCACCGATCTATCGATCGTTCCCGGCACATCGCCTGGCCACCGCGAGCGGCCCTGTCCTCTGACCGATCCCGGGCCCCGGCGGGGAGCTTCGCAGGTCCAGACTCCCTGCCTCGCCGCTTTTGAACCCCAGGCCCTGGCGCAGAGCCGCGGAGACTTGGAGGGCGCTCAGGAAATGTTTGCAAAATCGAATCAACCCTAGCGCAAGTGCCCGCCTGTCCACACGCGGTGGGGGTGCAGGGATGCGCGGGCAGTGGAAACAGAAGACCCTGGCGGA